TTATTTTGAAATATCAAAATATCCAAAGTATAATTCTTTGGAATGGGGAGGAATCTTAGAGAAAAGAATAGAAATGACTAAAAAGAATGATTTCTTGCAGTGGATAATTATTGATCAAGGATATCCACCAGTAATAAGAAAATATGGATTATATCAAATGTATTTACAATGGGAGCTTAAAGGGTTAGAAGGAATTAAATGTGAAACATGTGGAGATAGATTACAATCAAATTGTACAAGGATTCTAAAAGAATATAATGTTTTTGATGCATATTATTTATATAACGAACATTTGACAATACACCCATCAGAAACAAAGAATATGGCTGTCAAGTCCAGTGTGTGAGGAAATTCGAGAACGGAACGATTCATGGTAACAGATCTTTCACATCTTTTCTTCGGTTTCAGCGATCGTTAAACTACATGTATTAACGCTTATTCCTTTATTATAGCCGCAAGTGATCTCCGAAAAAGCGGTAGGGCTGCCGGCTACTAATATTAATTTTCACTACGAGCATATTATACTTAAAAATGTGGTAGATACATAAAAATATATATATACCGATAAGCATTATTAGCATATGAAAGATTACAATGAAATAACAAGATTCGTATATCCAACGAAAAAAAAAAAAAGTATTATTTGACTAAAAACTTTGAATAAAAGTATTGCAATTTTAAAATTTTGTGCATGGAAAATTTATGTCGCAGTATTGTTATAAATGTAAAAAAAAGTCTTTAATTAATTGCAAGCGTCACGATGGTAAAGCTTTATACGCTCATTAACACCGATGTGCCAACTCTTAAAAATTTGGTCATTTCTCTTTTAATATTCTTGCATTTTCAACATAAATTTTCCCACACCAGTTCTCTTGCTTACAGATTGAGTAAACGATCATCGTTACATAATCACCATTTATCCCAGGGAGTCTTTATTGATTACGTGATCTCATATTTGTCGATCAAAACAACGTTTGACATGTTGACATAATATTGTATGGAAGCAGGATGGTGAGCACGTTCGCGAATCGCGATCGGCACGCGACACAACAGATGGTCATGCGCCAAAGAATAACTTCGTGTAGGATGCGCGTGAGAAAAAAATACAACAATTCAAATATACTGTATATAGGAACTATAACATTTCATAAGTACTTTAAATATATTACTCACTTTATTGCTAATCAATTATTAATGTCAATTGTTTTTTTTTTCCCGCAATCATGTCGAAACGTCCTTCCTGTCTTTATTAAGATACTTGAGAAAAGTCAATTCATTAAACAAAACAAAAAAATTTATATTAAAGCTTTTAAAAGCTCGTATTTAATACCAGTTGCGGTTTAAATAAAAAAAAAATTTTTTTTTATTAAGATTTTTATTTTAGTTAATATAGTAAATATAATTTAAGAAAAAGAATCAAAATAAGATTTTTTTAATAAAAAAATAAATTTTCAAAATTTTAATTATACCTCTTTATAATTACCAATTAATTATCAATTTATTTAAATTAAAAAAAAAAATAATAATTGTAAATATTTTAATAAGTTATATTAGAAGTAATTTTTTTTTTTTAATCCACAATCAGGTTAGCATAACATATTTTTATTGTACGGTTGCTTCCAAAAGTTTGAGTCCACTTACTATAAATTTACTAGTGTTTCTATTTTTAAATATTTTTATATTTTTATATTTGTTTTCTAAATTTATAATTTTTTAGTATTATTTTCCTAAGTATCTGAATTATCTATATAAAAATTTTCATGATGATCTAATGATGTAAATTCTTTTAGATGT